TGGCGGCCGTAAAAAGTTCTTTTCCAGCTCAGAAAGGGAGATTTGCTCTTTCTGAGCTGAGCCGCGATGCGGGGAAACAAACTCTGGAGACGTTTTCGGTGGGAGATTCACAACCTTGACCTTTTCTCGGCACCATCAAACCACCACCAGCTCCCCCCACACCCCCCTGTAATTTAGGGGGGCGCGTTTGTCAGGCTGGGACCCAGCCGCGGCTCTTTGGCATCTTCATTCCCCTCGAAGAGCAGTAAACATGTTTGAAACCACCACCATAACCTGTGGGGAGATGGATTCCTCCTTCTTCTGCCTCTCTCCCACCCCACCCCCCTTTTTTTTTCCCTCTGAAATACTGGCACTTAATAAAGTAATCAGAAAGATTTGAGAGTTTTGGGTTGTTTACTTCAATTCCTGCCATTCTCGGAGGGTTGGGAGCGCTGAGGGACCGCGGAGCTTCCCCCTCCGCCCCCGGGAGGATGCTCCGAGCCCTCCGGGAAAAATCCCTTCGTGGGGAGGGGGGTGCTGAGCGGTTTTTTGTGTGTCCCGGCTATTCCCATCTTGCTTGAAGCTGAAAGAAACCGGGATTTTGTCGAACCTGGGGTTGGAGGGAGCTCCCTCTCACGTTTCGCCGTCTGAATTAAAAAAGTTGCGAAGCGCCCTGCTTGCTCAGCTTGCTTACCAAATCCGGAATTAATAAAGTTTACTTAGTTATTTAAATAGATTAAATGTCACGTTTTAAATGGAAGGGGAAGGTTCTACCTTACCGACCTATTTTTCATTTCTGATTTAGGAAAAAAAAAAAAAAAAAAAAGGCGAGATTAGCATGGATATTGCATTTTCAAGGACCTCGCCGCTATTAAATAGACTGTTAAGTGCATTTTATGGCTGGAGAGTGTGTTCCCAGTTCGGGCTGGAGACGTGCTGAGTTCCTCTCTACCTGCTACACTGAGCATTTCACCGGGTAAAATACCTCCTGCGGATGCAGCACCCGCGCTCTCTCTGTCTCTCGAGCCCAGAACGCTGGGTGTTTTAGGACCAGAAAACGTTAATTCGGTAAAATGTGCCCCCCCTCCCCGGGCTAGAGGTGCTGGCTCTCGGAGAAAACCGGATGGCGAGCGTTTGGCTCCTTGCAGGGATTCCCGGTGGTGACACGGAGGGGGACGCCGCGGGGATGGCAGGCGCGGATGCTCGGGGCTGCGGGCGCAGCCTCCCGCGGAGACTTAAGCCCCGCGGAGCTTAAGGGAGCATATTATCCCCCCAGCACCCCCGGGACGCCCCCTTCTCCGCGGGCACCAGCGAACCCAGCCCGGGCTCGGCTCTCCCGCAGCTCCGGAGCGGGGTGTCCCGTCGCTCCCCCCGGGGCTCCAAGCATCGCCCCCCGCGGGGACACGGCCACCGGCCCCGGTGCCGCCTCCGGGTCTCGGCTCTGCCGCCCCTACGGCCCTCGGTGCT